GAAGTCACAAAATAGAATATATAAATAAACCACGAGTTATTCTACTGTACGAACTTGTAGCATTATGTCACACAAGACCTAAGAGAACTCTACTCAAGATTTAGGATACGCCAATAAATGACGTCAGACTCCTTAACAATCGGGTCCTGTTAAGTATATTGCTGCAGCTCGCAAACTCCGTATAGTTCTTATTACCAGCAGGTACAGTAGATAATTGCGCGATTAATTCGAAAATGTTTACAAATTATGTTTGTTAACAGTGGGACTCGTTTCAGAGCAAGGTCAGCACCTTCCTACGGATAGTCAAATTACAATGCTAAAACTTTATAATGAGTCATACGCACATACATAAATTGTTGTCCATATTATATTAAACTGAAATTCTTATATATAAGAAGTATTGTTTTCATTTAATTAAAAAGTGCACGTCACGTTTTTATACGTGATAGAGCCACGCTGCAGCTATATTAATAGTATAGTTGTAGCACGAATGGGTCGGCTCAAACGTGGAAGAACCACGCTCTCACAGCTGTGTTTCGTATGGTGAGTGTAGAGAACGGGAGACCCTTTTTAATGGAAAAGAGGCATTCTATCTTGGTCCTCGCGGCTGATAACGCATCTGCATTATAATTCGCAGACGAAGATAGATGTAGATCTCTATGGGCCCCAGAAACCACTTACCATCAAGTGGACTGTGTGCTCGTTTGTCATGCTTATTATATAAAAAAAAGTTAACAGGGTGAATACATACTTATTTGAAAAGGGATTTTCAAATAAGTATGTATGTCTATTCAAATCTTACAATATACGAGTACATGAGTAAGCTAATCAACCTCATGCTATCTCTTTATATAAAAATCAATTGCTGTTCGTTAGTCTTGCAAGAACTCGAAAATGGCTGGATCGATTTTAATGAAATTTTTTATGTGTGGTTGAGTGGATCTCTGAATGATTTAGATTCAAGATTGAACCCGGTAGGTGGCGCTGTTGTCGAGATCCAGAAATGACACGTGCGAAGCCGGGGCATATTTCTAGTCCTAATTAAATAAAAACCATTGAAGAAAATACAAAATGTTTTTTTTTTTATAGGACAGGGTGACAAACGATCACACAGTCCACCTGATGGTAAGTGGTTGCTGTGGCCCATAAACATCTACATTTATCCTCGTTTGCGAATCAAAATGCAGATGCGTTGTCACCCGTGAGGACTAAGATGGAATGCCTCTTTGCCAGTAAAAAGGGTCTCCGGTTCTCTACACTCACCATACGAAACACAGCAGTTTTAAGCTGCTATTTTACGCTGGTATTCTGTGAGAGCGTGGTCCTCCCCCGGTCGAGCCGATCCATTCGTAGTACAATTATACTACTAATATAGCTACAGCATGGCTCTACCACGAAACAATATTATTACGGTATTTTATAAAAGAGCCGACAAAATAAAGTATTTTTTTTTCTTTTATATATTAGGATATAGAGGATAGATGTAGATGTCTATGGGCCACAGCAACCACTTACCATCAGGTGGACTGTGTGCTCGTTTGTACTTGCATTTATTACTAAGCCTACGCTGTCCGTCCGTCCATCCGTCTCTCTATCAGAGGACTGTATCTCATGATCCGTAATAGGTAGACAGTTGAAATTTTCACAAAATATGTAATTCTGTTGCCGCTATAACAACAAAAAAAAAATAAAACTTAAAATAAATTAAAAATTAAAAGAGGGCTCCTATACTAGAAACGTTGTATTACGATGGTAATACTTCATGTGTCAAAACTAGCAAGCAGACTTAGTTCTGCAGCATATGCTGTAAAAAAGATTAGAATTCTTACCAGTGTTGAAACACTTAGACTAGTTTACTTTAACTATTTCCATAGCATAATGTCGTATGGTATTTTACTATGGGGACTCGCAGCTGACACTGAAATTATATTTGTTTTACATAAGAGCAATTTATGATTTAAAGCGTAAAGAGTCGCTGCAACAAAAATTTAAGGAAATTAATATATTAACCTTGGCCTCTCAATACATTTACGTACGTACACAAAAATAAAAGTAGTTTTACAAAAATAAGTGATGTTCACTCTGTAAATACTAGGAACAGACACAAGCTAGTAGTACCAGTTACTCGACTCCATCGAGTCAGTAATTCATTCTTGGGGCGATGTATATGCTTTTACAACAAAATTCCAGAAAATATACAAAATTTGACCTGCTCAAAGTTCAAAAACTTTATTAAACTAAGTTTGTATAAAAAGGGTTATTATAATATTAAAGAATTTATAGATGATAATAACCCCTGGAAATGAAGTGATCGCTACCAAGCTATTTCTAATTTGTTGTGTTGTTAATTCGTGTAACATACATGATTGTAAGCTGTTATTTTTAAAAAAAAGTCCCCCTGGGTTTCTTGCTGGTTCTTTCCAGGACAGAGGTTTTTTTTCGAACCAGTGGTAATTAAACAAAATTGTGACTTTCTATAAGTATTATTTAATCTATATTGAATAAAAAGTTTCTGTTTCTGTTTCTGTTCTGTGGGAGTCCGACTCGCACTTAGCCGGTTATTCTTACTAGTTAAATGTAAAAGTTTTAAAATAAAAGAGATGAAATATATAAACGAATTTATTCAAATAAAGCGTACAGTAATTGTCACTTAATTAAACTATTAGAAACTAAGAATTTAATGTAAATAATTATTTACATACAAAATCTGTAAGGTAACAAACTATTACAAAACAAAAAGAATTCATTTGCGAGTTTATTTAAAGAATTAAATGCAAAGCTTAAATAATTATCACAAAATTTAAAACAAATAAAATATCAACAACAATTTATTTATTTAAACCAAGTGTGAAAAGAAAGGAACTATTTCTTCTTTTTCTACGCAGAATTTACATATAAAAATAATAAGAATAATAATAACTAAAAATGAGAGAGTAAAAAGCAAAAAGGGGGTTTTGAAGTGGACTTTGATCCAAAACAGTTATGCGATTTTGTGTATTATTGGGAACAACAAAACAAGTCCTTCGATGTGGATAATATAACAAACCTCAGTCCTTTTGTCTAAAGGCCTGTTTTCACTTTGATTAGTTATTAGTGCAGGTGATTAGTGCAGGTGCTTAGTGTTTAGGAGTAAACACGTGTGGACAGCGATTGATTAGTGCAAGTGATTAATAACCTGTGTAGTAAAGTGATTAGAAGCGTGTTCTATTTTTTTGCGAGTGGACTGCGAGTGTCACGCCCCGCGCGCCCTTTCTTTCCCCTCACTCGCAATATGCCTGCCACTAAGCACATTTGGACAGCAGTGCTAAGTGTTTAGCGTTTAGCGTCCGACGCTCGCTTCTGTTAAAATAATGTCCATACTTCCTGGTCGACTGCTAACAACTGCATTTACTAAACACAGCCACTAAACAGAATTGGACACTACTTACACTACACGCCTGTACTAATCAACCGCAATTACTAATCACCTGCACTCGCACTAATCAAAGTGAAAACAGGCCTTAAGGTTCTGAAGAACTTGAGATACTGACGTCATCAACCGTCACAAAGACAATATACTTTAATTTTATTTTAAGGCAAAAATAATTTATAAAATTTGTATATTTTGTTCATATATATATTTTAAGTTGCAAAATGTTAATATAATAAGAAAATCAAATGCAAGCCAACGACAAACGATTCCACTCCAGCTGTTATACATGTATTTGTGAAAATAACACAGAAATAACAATATAACAATATTTGTACAGAATACATAGACCAATGGTACATAACAGGTTTTTTTTTATTAAATCATTCGTACATTCATTAAGAGCAAAACGAATAACGAAATATTTGAACTACAGCAATCAGAAAGCTTAATATATTATTGTCATAAATTAAAACAATATTTCTTGAGTATTGAAATCTGTTGTGGTTGCGAATACGATTGTTTCTTTGAAATTTAAATACCTATTATATGTAAGTCCTTAGGCTATGAACTTATGGAGCGTTATTAACCCGCGTCCGTAGCAGTAGAGGAACTGCTATTTTATTTTAAAAATCGTGAGACCACAGATTCGTGTGGATTCGCGCTCACCGCGGAGAGGGTAACGTCCGCAAACATATTTTTTATAGAATATGGTGACAAACGAGCATACGGGCCACCAAATGGTAAGTGGATGCTGTGGCCATAGACATCAACATCTATCCTTGATTAAGAATCAAAATGCAGATGCGTTGTCAGCCCTGAGGACTAAGATGTAATGCCTCGTTGCCAGTAAATATGATCTCCGGTTCTTAACACTACCGATACGAAAAACAGCAGCATTAAGCTGCTATTTTACGCTGGCGTTCTGTGAAAGCGTAGTTCCACCCCGGTCGAGCCGACCTGTTTGTGCTACAACCATCATATAAGTGCAGCGTGGATCTACCACGTAAAATGATTGGTGAGAAATGATTTCAAGTCGAGCGGGCACAAGCACAAGGCGTGTTATTAGAGCCAGAAAAGTTACCAGACTCGCAGATCGGCTAACCGCGGCCTAAGCTATTCTATTAGTTGCCTATTAAACATAGTGATTTGTATACTAATGATTTCTTACTACGCGAACACTACACATTTAATGAAACTAATTATACGGATTTTATCACGTTTATTTTTAGCATTTTTCAGCCCCCCCCCCCCTCCCCCGTGACCATGGGTGCTGTAAATTACCCGAAACGTCGGGAATTATAAAGTTAAAATTAAAGGAGGTAAAATCCGTAAAATAAGTATAATTTGATTTTAATGCTCTTGGTTACCGGTCGGTACGTAAATTTACTAATTAAAGGTAAATTTACTATTGACTTTTACCTACATTTCTTATATTTTACGTGTGTTACGGGTCCGGCTACAGCTGCGGGCGCGAGCAAATATCGTTTCATGAGTTCTTAACCTACACCCTACCCAGCGCGTTTGATAAATGCATTCAAACATGAATAAATTATACACTTAATTTTTTTTTTGCATTTATATTTTTTACCTAAAAATTTACTTTTGGTTTCTTAGTTGCTTTGCTTATTCGTGGCGGTACGCCCGCCGGCCCAGGGACCTTCCAAGCTTCGAAGTTCGGTTGTCGTAGTTCTTTGCAGTCCACGAGTGGGTTGACGTCGCTCGTAATCTCCATAACTCTTGGCTGGACTTGGCTCAACATGATCTCATTGGCACAAATCACGTTACTCAGTGTGGTTTTCCTGATTTCAGCCAGTTGTTCTATAGAATAAAAAATTCTGATGTTAAGATAAATTTAAGAAAAAGGCGAATATAGTTTTCTTTAGGTGACGTATAACGAGGTATCTTTCACACACTTGAACAGACTTTTGTGTCAGAAGTATACGAGATTGTTACAGCGCAATCTGTCGGAAGTCATGTGATGTTTCAGACATATCCCATAGTTGACGCTTACTGCAATCACACGAAGGGGGTGGGGATAATGGATATTCTAACGCCATTACCACAGGCTAAGAGGGCGAGGACAATGGCCGTATCCCCGATTGACAAGCGTTCAGAGGTTAAGGGCTCGCTATAAATTTTACATAACGTGAAAATCCCGGTTTCGATCTCCGTCGGTATCATAAACATTGTGTATTTTAACTGTTAATTAAAATCGATGATTTATCACATGTATGGGGATGGCGTAGTGTGAGAGGCCCTTGACTAGACGGAGCGACGATCTGCGCAAGGTGATTGGTAGAAACTGGATGCGTGTAGCCGAAGGTCGGGCAAAGCGCAGGCTGATAATGGTGATGATGAGGGAGGTAAAGGGTAACATTGTATGGAAACTTGCATGTCTGAGAAACAAAATGTTTCCAGAACATACGATTTTCTCTAACACTTAATGTCGATCAGCTTGGTGGATTTATTACTACATATTCTTCTCATAAATAAAATGGCCTGTGTCCAGTTGTGAGATGTTATCAGCTGTAATTTTACATTTAAGTCTGAGTTAACGATTAAAATCTTATTTACTCTGTGACTTAAGCGGTGTGAAGCATTCGAAATATCGTGAATTTAAAATAGGTTTTGTGATAATGTAGGATACGGCAGCATAAGCTAAGTTAGGTGGAAAAAAAAATGTCAGGGATGACTGTGACTATGGATGATCTATCTACATAAACTACAAAAAAATACAAAATTTTATCAAAGTTCTTAGAGTTGTTTCCGAAAAACTAATTACATAGGGTACATACATATTGAAACAAGAATTTAAGGTTATTTAGTTGCATAGGATGTAGGTTTTACAAGATTATGGGTTATAAATTTTTTAATCAGTTTTATTTACATTCTGTCACATTCTGGTGTGCAAATTAAAAAAAAATGAATAAATTATTTTATTAAAAACTGGAAACTAAACTATTCTATTTCATTGGTTTTTTCATGCTAATGGATGTCATATTCGTTTAGTTTGTTTATGAAATCGTCATCACCAGCCTGTATTCTGCAGATTAAAAAAACTATGATAATGTAGAAGAATCCTGTCAGAAATAAAAGACGGCCCGTGGTCACAGGGTTTGAATCCTTCATGGAAAAAGTATTTGTATAACAAATAAATAATTTTACCGGGTTTGGACTGTATGTATCCATCCATCCATCTATCCATTTTATCCTATAAAAGTTCTCTGTTGTACATAGGCCTTCCCCATCCGTATGAGACAATCTATGGGCAAGGCTTATGTTTGATTTAATGGGGCTGTATGCCCTTGTGCAATTTTTGTATGTAAATTGGCTCTATGATACAGGACTTTATCCTATTATAACGTTTTTTTAAATAAATAATAATAATAAAGTCCTCTACACCGAATTTCTAAAGAAAAAAAAAGTGTATCGTGCGGGTGCAGCTGACCTGGTGTGAAGGCGAGGTCCGGGTCCCCGGTCTCGTACCAGTAGCGGTCGGCGCGCTTGAGGCGCAGGAACTGGTCGGCCAGCAGGCACGTGAGCGTGGCGCCCAGCAGCCGCCCGCCCGGCGCCTCCGCCAGCGCGCCCGTGTACAGGTCGATGTCGTCCACGCTCCTGCGAAACGTCACCACATGAAAAATTTAGTCCTGACAAATAACTTCATTTCCATAGAAAAGTCCTGACTTTTGTCTCGAACGGCAAAAAAAAAACAAACCAATTATTGGCTTTGAATTATTGAAAAATCGTTGCTGTATTTCATCGAAAAATTTAAAAAACTTGAAGTTGCTAGAGTCCCGCCGCATGTATTTGGAGATCTGCCTGTTCAGTTGCCTGTATGCTGTCAAATCTGCTGAAGACTGCAGCTACATTTCCCGTCTAACAGCCATAAGATAAAGAATCTTGCCGTTTATCAAACAGATTCCCTCTGTAAAAGTAATTGTCCCGATAAATTTTAATAATTTAAATATTGTAAATTCACCATATCCACCGCAATTTTATGTTATAGCTAATAATTACTGCCGCTTTGTATTTAATATTTAAGAAAGTTGGTACATAAATATTATAACAACAATTTGGTGTTGGAACAAAAAGTGACAGGTAACGAACATTGTTTTAAAATTATTGTAATCCTTATTTCATATCATTCCTTTTATAAATTAAAGATTTATTGTATTACTCTTGTTATTACATTCTTTGCGGGTTTCTTTTCGAATTGTTTTAACGATAATTTGATTTGAGACTTGTAAATAGAAAAAAAAACAACAACTTTACATTAGCTTACTCTGCTCCTTCTGTTTTCGATCTTTGTTTTCTTTTATTATTTATTATAAATAGTAAAATGAATACTCGTAACGCCAAGACGCGCCAGATGGAGAACCAACTCCAGCTTGCCCTCCAAGAACTTAAGGCGTCCAGGGAGCAGTGTGAATTGTTGCTTAAGGAAAGGGATGATAATGAAAGGGAAATAGCATAATTGCCAAAAATACACAATTGAAATGTGATATGGTTAAGTTACATACAGAATACACAAGTGTTTTAAAAGAAAGAGATCAGCTACAGGGAACGGTTAATGAGTTTGACCAATGCAGCAAGGAATATGAGGAAGCTCTCAGATTAATTGCTGCATTGAAGTTACAGTTGAATGAGGCTAATGAGCAAATAACACAATTCAATGTGGTTCGGAGTTTTTGTCTCCTTCTGCGAAGTGTTTTACAGAACTTAGCTCCGACCACATGGACAGTTTCCATTCTGTTGTCATTCATATCTTCCACTGCGTTGCAGTCTTCTAGGAACTAAAAACAATTTTATAACTCGAGCTAAAAGTTTTCAGATCTTTGGATTAGAGCATGAAGGGGACGGAGCTTTGACTTCATTAGACGTGACCTCTCCAACTTAACGTTTAGTTTCAGTGTGTCTCTAACCATTCGGTGATCACTACCAGTTTTCACCCTCGCGATCACTGATCAGTTGCCGTCTGGTGGTCATAATGAAGTCAATCTAATTTTTTTGACAAATCGTCGGGACTTGACCATGTCCAACTTTCTGTGCGGCCACTTCTGAAAGAAAGGGTTAATCATAAATATTCCCTCTTCCTCCGTAAAGTCGGCTTAGCCGTTATTTTGCGTTGAATTCTCCCAATAACACCGTATAGTGGGTTTTGGAGGAATGCATGGCTCTAGAGATATCTTTATATATTTCCTCCATATCCTCATCGGCATGTGCCGAAGTTGGTGTGTAAACCTGCATTACCTTCAACAAATAACATTTGGTGATTCTGAGTATAAGGTACGCAAAATCTCGTCGACACACTCCCAATCTTTACATCGTTGTTAACGAGAGACTTGTGGACGATAAATCCGACACATCCTTCAGACAGATGATCACCCTCCCAGTCCTCCCCCTCTATTCTGACCTTAGATAATCCTATAATATCTCAGCGCAACTTGTCTATCTCTTCTTCCAGGTTACCAGGTCGAGTCGTCTTAGGTGGCAATCGAACTCCTACCGGAGAACAGAACAGATCTGCACAGAATAGCGGGGCAGACGGGGACTGGGAGTCGTCTCTTTGTTACTTTCACTATAAGGGGTATATTGCCATAGTTGCCAGGATTATATTGACACAGTGTTTTTAACGGTATTTTGGTACTGCTTTGATACTGCTGTCCGTCTCCTGTCTTAGTTTCCCCCTGTCGCCTCTTACGAGTCCGTACAAAGGTTCTATTTAATCTAAATAATTTACTGAAATATCTTCCAGTAGACCAAAGGATAAAGGATAATATATTAAAAAGGCAAACTTATTTTTTCTTTATCAGCGTAATAAAATCCGTAAAAATAGTTTCACTTACTTGTAAATCTTGTAGATTCTCTCCCGCGAGAGCTCGTCGAAGATGTCGTCGAGGTCGGTGAAGTTCTTCGGCCTGGAGAAGCCGCAGTACTCACGCCAGACCGGGTAGGCGGGCAGACCGTGGTCGCGGCCGCGCTGGATGTTCAGCGAGATGAGATCCAGCCCGCACGGGCCCGAGCTCTGCGGCTGCCACGACGTGTTGACTGCTAGTGGACGCTCGAACAGGTGGTTGCTTAGCTGGGACAACACAAGTGTAGAACTAAAACAACGTCCTAGGAACGTGTTTCTGGTATATATGGTCGGCCTACTTGCTGGTCTTCAATCCAGTATATAGCGTCTCACCTCGTCGTTTTTGCGAGGTTAAGCGATGTAAAAGTCAAATTCAACAAACAATAACATATAATTTTTTAAGAGAAAACTTCTTTGGAATCGTTTTGATTTGAAATTTGATGAAACGAAAACGCTAAAAAGAAACCAACATATTATGCAATTTTAGCCTGCGAGAGAACAAGATAGAATACAGTATACTGTGTTTCCTATTATACAGGCTTGGCCTTAACAGTATGAGCGTTTTATTTTGTCTATGATTCAAAAACCGTTAGAGGTACGGGGGCGCGGGGGGTGTCGTTAGACGCGCCATTTCGTGAAATTTTTAATCGCCATGGACGCGTTCTCGGGAGCACAGCACGCGCAAATTATATTCGTAAATGGGTTAAGATGTTCGATGTAACCGGGTCTACAGTAAAAATAAATAATGCGGGCCGCCCTAAGTCAATACGGACGCCGGAGACCATGCAACGCGTTCATGAATCGATTAGAGAAAATCCTCGACAGTCGACTCGCAAAAGAAGCCAAACTTAACATCAAGAAGACTACTTTGCGCAGGATTTTGCACCGCGATTTGCATTTAAAAGCGTACAAAATTCAGTTGACACAAGAGTAGAATCCTAATGATGCCTATCTTCGACTTAATTTTGCTAATGTTTGGAACGTTTTAACAATTTTTCCAACATAATCTTCAGTGATGAGGCAAACTTTCAGGTCAACGGACATGTTAATAAGCAAAATTGCCGCTTTTGGTCCGAATCTAATCCCCGCGAGATGCATCAAAGACCTCTGCATAGCCCTAAGGTTGTTGTGTGGACTGGATTATCGGCTAGTGGAACAATTGGGCCATACTTCTTTGAAAACCAAAGGGGAGTTGCTGTGACAGTGAGATCTGAGAATTATTGTCAGATGTTGCAAGAGTTTCTGGTTCCAGCTCTTCAAGAATTTCAAGGTTACAATTCTAGGACGTGGAATCAACAGGATGGAGCCACTTGCCACACTTCTACAGTCTAAATAGACGTGTTGAAAGAAATGTTTACGGGAAAACTCATATCGCGAAGAGGAGTCATTGAGTGGCCTCCAAGGAGTCCAGATCTTTCTCTTAATGATTATTTTTTGTGGGATTACCTAAAATCAAGAGTCTACGAAAATAATCCAACAACAGTTGAAGAGTTAAAGCAAAACATTGTGCAAGAAATTAACGCTATTCCACGAGCAACTTGTCAATGTGTTTTTCAAAATCTGCGAGTGCGACTACAAGAATGTCAAAAAGCTGGTGGCGGTCACTTATATAACATTATCTTTAAAAATTAGATGTCTCTGTCTGATTTACGTTGTAAAAGCATTTTTTGAAAGTATGTGGGTAGTAATTGAAATCCTTATCAAAGCTAACACGTCAATTTTTGGGTGACGCGCATTTCCAACTGCAGGCTTGGGATAGGCCCCCCCGAACGGGTTCCCATTTTGTCGTGGTGGGGGGGGGGGGTGCTTAGTAGCCGTGGCTTGGTCACCCGCGGTGAATAAATAGAAACCCCTTGGCTGGCCCGTGGTGTAGGGCCGGCCCGAGGTGGTGCCCATTTCGGATGTGTGTCGGTGGACTGCGGTGAGAGGGGTGTCCTCTCCCCCTACCGCTGCAGCCGAGGTGGAGTCGCGGAGGAAGAGGAGTGTTGGTAATGCGATGCGATACTCGCCCTATCCTCACCGACTTTGACGGAGCCGCACCGTTTATGCAGTGGTGGTGGGGACGCGGGGGGAGAGGAGTGTCGGTATTGCGAGGCACCGCTCTCCCTACCCTCCGCGGCCGAAACTTGGTTGACGGTGGAGCCAGAGACCTGAACCGCCGCTGTGGTCAGGAAAGTGGGTGCTACTAAGCGCTCGATTTTCCTGGCCCCATGGCTTCTGCGTATCGGACTCGGGGGGGGGGGGGTCCGATACGCAGGTGTAGTTGGAGGCCGTTGAGGGGGCGTGCCTTGTGTTCCTGGTGCGCCTTGCCTGAGAAGGGGAATGAGGAGAAGAGTCCCTCCCCCGAGAAGGGGCTGCCATGGGGCGGCCGTCGCTGGTGGGGCCGCGGATATGTGCGAGAGCGTTTCCGTGACCTTGCCAATATGCGGCGAAGGTGGAACACCATGGGGTTTTAGTCGTTGCGAGTCCGACATAGCCCGTCCTTGCCCCCGCGAGGCGGGTATGCTTAGGCATTTCCCCATGTAAAAAAAGGTTTGGGATAGGATCGTGTGCGTGTGTGGATGTGTGTGCGTGCGTGCGTGCGTACGTGCGTGCGTACGTACGTGCGCACTTGCGTGCGTGTGTGTGTGTGTGCCCGCTGCACCCAGGTACTAGGAGAGTATACATATAGCTTAGCTATATTATGGTACCTCTGCGGTGACGTGCGGGTCGGCGGCGTGCGCGGGCGTGGCGAGCGCGGAGGCGACGGCGCCGGCGGGCCCGCGCTCGCGGTACAGCGCGTACGGGTTGAACAGCATCTCATGCAGGTGCACGTAGTTAAAGCTGCCGTTGCTCGCCTCCACGTTGCGGATCAGCCCCTGAAACGTCAGTGATGCGACAGTTAGTTGCGATATTCCGCACATTTTTTTACAGAATAAGGGTGACAAACGGCGAGCACACAGTCCACTTGATGGTAAGTGGATGCTATGGCCCATCATAGAAATCTACATTTATCCTCGATTAAGTATCACACTTGCCATACGAAACACATCAGCATTAAGCTGCTATTTTTATATGCTATATTATATAACATATAAAAATAGAATAGAAAAAACCTTTCACCTTCCCATGTATAAATTGTAATGAAAATAATGTGATGTAATAATGAAAATGAAAATAAAATATAATATTGTTATATTTTATGAACTTTTTACAACGAAATCTAAATACTACACCCTACCGCAGTATTTCTTTGTAAACAATATTTTTTGTATTTCCTTCAGGTGCTAGAATCACTAGGCTATTCTGTGCGCTTACTCTGGAGCATGCCACATACAACTGACCGTGGGAGAAGCAGCTTTCTCTCAAATCTACTCCCGCTACCTTAAGAGTTTGACTTTGAGCTTTGTTTATGGTTATGGCGAACCAGACTTTGATAGGAAACTGCACTCTCTTGAAATCGAAGGGGTAATTTGGGGAATAAATACAGACTGTCCTCGAGAACAACCTGTCAGTGTAGTTGCCTCGATTACATGGCGATGCAATGTTTTCACTTGCAATCTAGTGACATTGCATAATTTTGGTGGGTTTATATTGCGCAGCAACATAATTGGCGCGCCAACTCTCAATTTTAATATGTGAGTTGGGAGACCGGGAGGCTTCAGTGCATTCAGGAACTCGACTGGATAGTGAATGGCTTCATCGGTGTTTATCACTGAGTCGACGGATTTATATTGATATTCAACCCCTTCGAATGATCTCAAAAGTATTTAATTTACTGAGGCTTGTTCGTATTTTGGTGTTAGGTTGGCATACCCGCATTACCATTCAAAGATGAAGAGTTTTAAAAATAGATTGAGTTGAACAAATGGTATTTTCAAAAGTTATCGTGTTTACGAAGCCATGCCATGGTCTTGATAAATCCACACCATAAGCCACTAAAACCCCTTTTTTATGTAAAAATAGCAATTAATCGATTTAAAAAAAATATTAATAAGTTCAACAATCATTTATCTTTCTAACAATGTGCTTTTTATATCATTTATATATATAATATGATTGCTAGATACGATTTCATGCGACAAAACGTTGGAATCTTAATTTTTAGGCCCTAGTAGAACATCCCTGCGCGCTTTGCGCTGGGCATGCAAAAAAGTTTGTCTGTTCGACTTGGAGCATCCAAAAAAAAAGATATCACCTACACCTGCGTCGATACTGGCCAGTATTTTATAATAGATATGTCTTTGTTCATTGATTAGAGAGCCTTCACTACTTGACACCAGTTCCGCTGAGGAACTGACATCGTAACTTGTTTCCCGGTTATTGTGTAAGCGTTCAGACCGTTGAGCCTGAGGCAACCCGTACTGCTGTAGGCTTTGTCCTCCTAATGCTAATACAGCTTCTCCTATTGTGACCAGACATTTATTGTAGATTTCATCTGCTAGATGTTCATCTATAAGGCCAGAAAGCCTTTCTACTTGTTGTTTGTTGTCTTCTGATAGGTTGTCCCTGTATTTTACCCAAAGAATTAGTGCGTCTGTAATCTAAAAGAAGGCCAGCATTATAGAAAAAAGTTCACGCAATGGAGACTTGTATAAAGCTGCTTCCTCTAGGGCAGAATCCTAATGTTAGTCGTCCTCTAGCAAGCCAAGTTTCATGCAAGCTAATTGAAAAGTTGGTTGGAGCACACCGGTGACAGTCTTCTCTTCAAGTCATCAAAGGATGATGGACCCCTAACCTCGTGAAGAAGTAAGCGAAGATGGTAACACTCTATGTTATTCGGGTGAACCGTGTACACTCTACCTAGAGCGTGTTCCTTCATTATTCCTGGCCAGCCATCTACGGGTTTTCCTTTTTTCTTTATCACAATTTTATATTTTTTGCCATACAAAATATGGTGGCACTGTTTGACATAAATCAAAAAATGCTATCAGTATCGTTTTTGGTGAGCTATTAACTTTATTGCCGGGGTTCTCGGAATTAAAATAGACGCGTTGGCCATTTTCAAGGTGGACAGCTAAATGTACTACGGGAAACCTTTCATGTATTAAAACCCTAAAATCCTCCGAACTGCCTCCTCAAATAACGCCCACTCTCGTTTAATATAACTTCGTCCTTTTTGTTTTCTAGCACCAAAGCCGCCTGATCACTGTTCTTATTAATCTACCGACTTCAAGAAGGAGTCGGTACTCAAATCGACTATTTTTTTTATGTGTGTTTCCTCATAACTTTTTACTGGGTGAACCGATTTCGATGATTCTTTTTTTTATTTGAAAGCTGGTGCTTCACATGTAGTCCCATATCAATTTGATCAAGGTCTGGCCAATAGTTTTTGAGTTATTCTTAATAATTTTTATTGAAGTCGGTTGTACAAAATTTTAAATTTTAAATTATGTACTTACAAATGTACTTTATCGATTTAACAGAATTGGGAAATTCTACATTAATATGTGCCTTAAATGTCCGCGACAGAACCTTATTATAGGGGACCACCTACCTATTGTCTACTTCAATGTCTTTTAATTTAAGTGTAAAGCCACCGTCGACCAGAGATCGTCTTCTGTACTGTGGGTAACCATCGTCACCTGTATGTGTATCTCTCAAAACTTGTCTGGGATATTTTTTGCTACATTTATTATCTTTCATGCAGGGAGAATCATTATTAAGGTTCCCACATGGACCGTGTATCATATTGTTTTTAACTACGTCGTATAAAATAGGATCTTCATTTGGATTTGGTATCAGCACATATAAGTTCATCAACCATGTCAGGCGAAATACGGTTAACCATCCACAACAATATGTGTATGTGAGGCAGACCTGGTTTCTGCCATTCGTTAGAGAACATAAGACAACGTACCTCTCCAACTATTTTTCCTTTGGTTAGAAGTGCCATTATTTTCTTAATTTTGAGGTGAAAAACCCAGGCTATTATGTCGTGTCTATCATAACTTTTTTTTTCCAGTTGAAAGCATCCCCGTGATTTCATCCCATCGAAGATTGCAAGTAAATGTTATAAAGAAATCGGGACAACCGTAGTGGTCGCACTTACGTCATGGCGTCTTGTGTCCGTTCATGCATATAGCATGGCCAGTAAAAGAAGAAGGCAGCACCACCTTTAGACCCAGCTGATCAGCATCAACGTCCTCTCCCTATCCGTCCCTATCGCATCTTGCAAATGTATATAACTGTCCGCTCTAAGCTGCGACTTTTTATTCCTAATATAACTCAACCTTTCCGTCTCAATTTTCGCAAACATGTCAACTAAAAACTGGCTGAACAGCGAACGAAAATATAGCAAATGGTTATCTTCTCCTTTCCTAATCATTATACGGTAAGAATAAAAACTTGCAACGATACCATTTTTAAGCGGTTGTTTGGTCTTAGGATCGCACTGGAGTATAGAAATGAAGTATCCATCCTCGCCATAGCAAAACAAAAGTGGGTACTGTAATGCATCGTATGAGCGATGGATTTCACTTATTCGATGCAATGTGTTATCGTCCAACAATAAGACAAACTACTACCTACTTAAATATCTATATTAAAACAAAAATAAAACTATATTATTATACACAACAAATTAAATACAGATATTTTTACAAATAAAACTAAAAACCTATATTATACACTAACAAATCAAACTCAAAAATTCTTATTTAATTATTATAACAAATGATAAATAAATTAAATTAACTACACTCAAAATATTCTAATGAAATAGTGAAAATGAACTTCCAAACAAATTATACAGAAATAGCAAATATTATTCGCTAAGGAGTATATCTAGATAGGTATATCTAAAAGATTTCCAACGAATTTTCGGAAGAAAACCAAGGTAAGTTTTTCATTCAAAAAATCCAAGGCTAAATAAAATTGAAATTTCGAATTCTAATCCGATTAAATATTCTTTTATATTTGACATTACAATTTGAAAGTGCAGAGTGCATTCATTGTATTGCTTGTACCAAGCTTTTATGTGAGTTCAACGCTTTGAGTTTTCAAACATGGGTCAAAATAAAATGTAATATAAATCAAAAGCACTAAGCAGTATTAATATCAACTTCGATGCAAATCGCCCCCAAAATAACTTTCTATCCCTTTTAACCTCGTTAGGCGATGAGTTTCAATAAAATATAAAACACGTCTTCCATCAATTCTGTTTAAGAATGTTTATGCAAAATTTGAAGTAGATTGGACCAAGGACTCACGTTGTCCCATACAAAACTTGCTCCCGTTTTTCACCCCTTTAGGGGTAGAATTTCGGAAAATCCTTTCTTATCGGATGCCTACTTCATACAAAGAACACACCCTACAAGTTTCAGGTCTCTACAATCAGCGGTTAAGGCTGTGCGTAGGATCCGTCGGTCAGTCATGCAGAACAAAGCATTTTATATGTATAGATTTCATTCAATATAAATATATTTTTTACGTGGCAAACCACGCTGCAGCTATATTATGGTTGTAGCACGAATGGGTCGGCTCGACCGGGGAAGGACCACGCTCTCACAGAATACTAGCGTAAAATAGCAGCTTAATGCTGCTGTATTTCGTATGGCGAGTGTAGAGAACCAGAGACCCTTTTTACTTGAAAAGAGGCATTTCATCTTAGTCCTCATGGCTGACAACGCATCTGCATTTTGATTCGTAGTTGAAAATACATATATATATGGTTGCTGTGTCCCATAGTATATAATGCTATGGGCCACAGCATCCACTTACCATCAGGTGGATTGTGTGCTCGCTTGTCACCTTTATCCGATAAAAAAAAAACTATTAAAAAACTATAATGAAAGAAATCTAAATCTGAAACTTAAATTATCATACCACCCGGGGAGTACCCGCGGTATCGTGCCAAGAACACTGACTGCGTTTCTTTGCTGAATGGCTATACTTTGGTTTTGAACGAGAAAAGAACCAGCGCTCTTATCACCAGCAGCGACGACCAGTCGTGGATACATTCCTTTAGGAACTTCCGACCGATAATGCAAATGGCTCTACAGCAAATGGCGCAAATATGTAGTCATCTCTCAGAGAATCATATATGCGCCACTTAAAAACATAAAAACAACACAATAAAAACCAACTGACCGGAAGTAGTGTGTGTGCGAAACGGAACGCGGCGGCGGAGAAGTGGTTGGCAATAGACGGGTCGAGGTCCGGGTCGTACATGTTGGTGTAACCTTCTGTTTGCACCGTCAGATTCAACGCCCACATAACGTCACTACCTGGGGACATACAGCTTGTGTATATAATAATAATACGAGAATAATTGTGTAGGCTTTTTTTTATTTATTCTTGGAGATTTTCTTACGTGGTAGAGCCATGCTGCAGCTATATTAGTAGTATAGTTGTAGTACGAATGGGTCGGCTGGACCGGGGAAGGACCACGCTCTCACAGAATACCAGCGTAAAATAGCAGCTTACCGCTGCTGTGTTTCGTATGGTGAGTGTAAAAAACCGGAGACCCTTTTTACTGGTAAAGAGGCATTCCATCTTAGTCCTCACGGGTGACAACGCATCTGCATCTTGAGTCTTTATTGAGGATAGATGTAGATGTCTATGGGCTACAGCAACCACTTACCATCAGGTGGGCTGTGTGCTCGTTTGTCACCCTATCCTATAAAAAAAAAGAGTGTACATTATTTACTTTTAAATTTTTTCCAAGCCAGTTTGTCGGTAACGCAACAGTTTATCGTTTCACACTCTTTAATAATAATATCTGGTACTTATAAATACTTAAATTAACACATAAATAATTAAAGTAACATTCACCACTATAGACACAACGACAGACAATGTTTCCTCAAGATGGTTTTGAGCTGCGACTTAGTTACACCACAGAATAATGGTTACGCTTTCGTCATGTAATATAGGTATATCCGCCACCACGAAGCAAATACAAAGAGGAGATGGCATAAGCAACTGTGCACTGTGATTCTAACTAGGTCCTGACGTCATCACAGTGGGCGTGGCTTTAATTAGTATACTGTCAGCGATCGTCCTGTGCTCTTATGTGTCGAAAATCGCAAATCAGTGTATTTTCGTAGTATTAAGAAGAAAAGGATGAAGTGTTGCGTTTTATCGTGTAAAAACTAGTCAGATAGACGCTCTGATGCTATGGATGGCATCCATTTCATTTGTAAGTAATTTTATACCTAATTTATTAAAAAGGTTCTAGAAAAATCTCTGCGTCCGCTTTCATATGTAATTAAATATATTCGACACTAGATGGCGACACTTTGTGTCATGGGAACTAAAAATATAAAGGTACGTACGTATTGCTCAGTATTTGTAAAATAATGGTACGAAGGTGTTGAAATTTGTTTTGCATTCAGTCCTAAAGAACTTTTAATCGCTAAAATATTCTTTGTATAGTTTTTATAATTATTTAGTGAATAGGCCACCATCTATCGTCTAGGTAGTTAAACTACATTGTAACATCGATATGAAACGATGCGAGTAGTTTTACTATTTATCGGTAAATGGAAAATGGTAAAGTGGGCGAGGCTTAACATCCCCTCACCCCGCAAATTGTCACGCGTTGTTACATAGTGAAATCTAATTACAACACCTCCTCTTTGTATTTGCTCCGTGATCCACCACCTCATTACACAAGGTCGAAGTTTGCCTTGTACGCCTAAGTAATTTTCAACGCTAGTTATGAGATATTTCCTCCTTTGTGTAATTTGGCGATTCGGCATTATATACCGCCACTCCATGGTCAATATTCTTACACAAGTTACGAAGGTTACAAAGGTTGACAAACGCAGAGTTTTCTCTCTTTTCTACCGACTTCAAAAAGAGGGAGGTACCCACTCAATTCGACTTTATGTTCTTATGTGTGTTAAATCATAACTTTTTTCTGGGTGAACCGATTCTTTTTTATTTGAAAGCTGGAGCTTCTCATGTGGTCCCATATACATTTGATCAAAGTTTGACCAATAGTTTTTGAGTTATTCTTAATAATTTATATTGAAGTAGGTTGTAATTTTTTTTTATTTTCTCTTCGTTTATTTCCTCGTTTGTTGCCCTCTGTCACCTCTTACGAAACCCGTGGGACGATATGGATTGTAAGCATTCTTATACACTACACGGTCAATATTCTTATACAATATTCATAGAAATGTTTGTTTTACTTACCAAGTATGGCAGGTAGGAACTCAGCGTACGTGATGTGCTGCATCTGTGCTCCGATGATCCGCCTCGTCTCCTGGAAGACGGTCTCGTCATCCCACACGGGGTTCAGTTTCTGGAGCTCAGCTGCCACGCGATTGTGCTGACGTGCCCAGATTAGATGCATCGTGGTGAGATGCAGGTTCTCGTTCGCACGCTCATCGCCTGAAAAAAAGATTTATTATAAGAAATATATAATAGACGGCTGGCGCAGTGGCTAATAGCAATGGTTTGTGGCGCTGTGGGCCGCGACTTCCAATCCTGCACAGAATAAGTGGTATTAGTATGGCCTACAAATATTTTTTCCGGGTATATTTATGTATGTATGTTTGCCTCCATGATACAGGGGAAAATTCTAGTGTGGGGCTTACGTCTTTAAGAAGAATTAAGATGAAATATTTAAGGCGAAACAAATATTGCTCGGTGGTGGATTTTATAACGAAGGCAACATCTAAAATATCTAACAATTTTCCATAGATGACGGAATATCACAAACGCTACGTGTTATGGCTCCGATTCTGCCTAGAAATTCATAGCATATGTAGTTTAAATCGCCTAACAGTAGTGCACTCACTTGCCTGTTCAAGTTTGGAGGTTGATGATGTCAATATAAGTAGTAATTACGGCGTGTAAAGCTTTTTATCTCAGATTTCAGGGGTGTGAAGAATTTTTATTGCAGGTGTATATATTATTCAAAACCTTCTAGAAAGGCTCCTGGGTTTCATGCCGATATCCATTTCAACAAACAGTGACTTATTAATTTTTTGACTAATTTAAAAAAATCCCCCACACACAAGAATTTTCTCCTGTATCGTGGAGACGATTTACCATTCCGAAGACTAGCCTTTTTCATGTGTTAATACCATGCACATTACCCTCTGGGCCTAATAGAAACTAGTTATTTTGATATAACGGACAGACATTTTAACTTTGTTTGTATGTTGTATAGTTTAGAGTAAAGTAGTCGAGTACCCTTAACCGGCGAGCATTTATAGCGTATTATCCAAATGGCAGTTCGTAGTCTCTGCCTATCCCTCTTGGTGACAGGCGTGTGTGTGTGTGTGTGTGTATCATGTTGTATAGTTTTTTTTTTATAGGAGAGGGGACAAACGAGCATGCAGCTCACCTGATGGTAAGTGACTACCGCCGCCCATGAACAACTGCAACACCAGGGAGGGACTTGCAGATGCGTTGCCGGCCTTTTAAAAAGGAGTACGCTCTTTTCTTGAAGGTCCCTAAGTCGTATCGGTCCGGAAAAATCGCTGATGGTAATCGATTCCACAAGGAAGTCGTGCGAGGAAGAAAACATCTTCTAAATCGCACAGTGGTGGACCGCCAATCATCCAGATGGTGTGGATGGTATCGGGAGTTCCGCCGCGATTTGCGTTCGTGAAATTTGGCGGCTGGGATTAATCCGAACAATTCCTCAGAGCACTCCTCATGGTAGATGCGAAGTATAATGAAGAGAAGTATTGATCTTTAGTCCACGCCCATAATCAAGGCTAAATATTGATCCTTGTGGCCCAGCACACATCATAATTGGTGCTCCAGAAGACTCAGTTTCATAACAACTTTTTGGTAACCGACCAGACAGCTATAATTTAACAGTTTGTCGAGTTTATTGACACATCATACTGCCTTCAATTGTTTAATAGTGCATTATGATTTACGCAATCCTGCGCCTTTGATAAGTTACCAAAACTCCTATTATCCTATAGTTTACCCTCCCAGGCACAAGAACAGAGACAAACAATATCTTGTTGGCCATACAAACTTGAAAGGTGTGGGAATCGAACTCGCGACCAATAGCGCTGAGACCAAACATTTAGCCACTGCGCTATGAAGCTATCATATGTAGTTGTACATTTTAAAAAGCCAGAGCAGAAAAAGAAACTTACCAGACTCAAAGCAGTAACGACCCACAGCGTTCATCTCGACGGTGTTGCATCCGTCATTGGGGTCCGTGGACTGCGGCAACAGCTCGTATGGTCCAATCTTCAGCATCTTCAGCTTTCCTTCAGTCCCTAGGCGCAGGTGCGAGGCCTTGCTCTCCATGAAGCCGTACACTGTGGACGCGTCTATGAACGCTGTCGCTTGGTTCAGCTGCTCTCTAACTCCTGAAATTGTGTGTAAGGATTTATATTAACACGAACACTAGACATTGTTTGAATGGAGTTAGTTTTTAAGGATTTTATCGCGTTTAACTAATTTATTTTATACTAGCTGCTCCCTACAACTTCACTACCCTCGCGACTAAAATAAAAGTAGTCTAAGTTATTCTGCATTTAGTAGTAGTAGTAGTACATTAGCTATCTGGCAGTGAAAGTCTCGTCAAAATTGGTTTAGCCGTTTCGGAGATTAGCCGGAATAAACAGACAGATAGACAATAATTTTAAAAATTGTTTTTTAGGGTTCCGTACCTCAAAAGGAAAAAACGGAACCATTATAGGATCACTTTGTTGTCCGACTGTCTGTCTGTCTGTCTGTCTGTCAAGACCCTTTTTCTCAGGAACGCGTGAAAGTGTCAAGCTGAAATTCATGTGAAATACTCAAGTCTACTGTCCCTTGGAGCTGTGAAAAAATCAAACTTCTAAGCCAACGCAATCAAAAGCTACAGCCGTTTATGCCCCAAATTTTCAACATTCGCAAGGGAATCAAAACCTACAGGGTACTTCCCGTGAACTCAGAATCTTAAAATTTGATACGAAGCACTGGCAAACTGGCAAAAGTACAGCCATACGAGTTCATTACTAAAGAAAGAAAGAAAATTCGCTTAAATATAAATAATAAAATGTTAACGTCATACCAAAATGGCATGTCGGCGCGGGGGCTGATCTGACGAACTCCATGCAAGTGAGGTTGTAGTCCTGGTAGTAGGGGTCCTCCACGTCCAGCATCACGGGGAAGCACTCGGGGTGCGTCTGGTTGGTGTTGCAGCAAGACAGAGAACTGCTGTTTTCACCTGGAATCAATTTAACATAGGTCAACGAACTTCAATTCAAATCAATTCAAATCAAAGCAAATCATCTCATTTATTTGCAATCCAAGTGTACATAATTGGTCTTAAATTAAAAATGTGCTTATAACTTAGACGCCCTTTTCAGGCACTGTAAATTTGACGAAGACATTGCTTATATATTATTAACATACATAAAATATAATTAAAAGCTACAAAAAAATATTAAAATATATAATAATGTTATTTTATATTTAAATACTCTTCTACTGAGTAGAAGGGGTTTTGTTTTAAATATTTACCGAGTCTTGATTTAAATTTCGTTAATTCTGATATATTTTTTATTTCTTGTGGTAATTTATTATATATTTTTATTTTTTATTTTTTTTTTCAAATCGTATGAACTCCAAGTTCCAGCAAAATACAAAGAGACATTCCTCGCTTCCGATTTCTGAAACTTTGGGGTGGTGGAAAAATCAATTGCCGTGCGTTAGTCTCGCAAAAACTCGAAAATCGCGGCGCGACCTATTTAGATCGAATTTTTTTGGTGTGTGTGAGTGTCCCTGAATGGTTTAGATTCACAATTGGGCCCGATAGATGGCGCTGTTGTCAAGATCCATAAATTAGTTGTTACGATCAATCAGTGATAGCGGCAAACCATAATATCAGGAATCTGATACCATGGTTTTACCAGGTTTTGAACCATTTATACGTGGTAGAGCCATGCAGCAGCTATATTAGTAGTATAGTCGTAGCACAAATGGGTCGGCTCGACCGGGGAAGGACTACGTGCTTACAGAATACAAGCGTAAAATGGCAGCTTGATACTGCTGTGTTTCGTACGGTGAGTGTAGAGAACCGGAGACCCTTTTTACTGGAAATGAGGCATTCCATGTTAGTCCTCACGGGTGACGACGCATCTGCATTTTGATTCTTTATTGAGGATAAATGTAGATGTCTATGGGTCACAGCAACCACTTACCATCAGGTGGACTGTGTGCTCGTTTGTCACCCTATCCTATAAAAAAAAACATGATTGCTAATAGCCGTGTGTGTGGTGGTGTAAAAGAATCTATCTCTACTTTTCCCCGTCTGGGTTTCATAAGAGGCAGCTATGCAAAATGCCAGTGCCAGTGTAATAACAGACTGTGAATATTTTGAAATTGGTTCCAATTCCAAGTATACGTATACGCACTGCAGTAGCCACTAACCATCAGGTGAACTGTAAGCTCGTTTGCTACAGTTTTATGAAACAGGGAGCAAAATAAGTACTGACGGTATTATTATTTAATACTAGCGATCCATCCTGGCTTCGTCCGTGGGTAGGATCTAATGTCGTTATTTTGATTTAATATAATCAACGACCATTGATTATATACTATGACCATATTTTTTATACAGTTGTAGATCGCTATCTACTTGCTCGTCAAGTGTCATTAAAATCGTTTCAGCCGTTCCGAAGATTAGCTCGGCTCGGACAGACAACAGACAAAAATTTAAAAAAAACATGCGTGAGTGTCGTGGAACACTTGGTTGAAACGAAGTTCCTTTTGTAGTATATTATTATTGATAAACGTATTTATTATATTATTGATTAAGAAATACAAATAAATGTATTACTAGCGTTTATGAAAATTAAACGTCATTTAAAATAATATTCCTTTCATGGCAAGATAAGAAAAGTGCGAGGGAGATAGATATTATACCATCTCGCTCGCACTATAGAAAGGACCGTGATGCAAAAATCTTATGGTGGCACTTCACATGGTTATTTGTATTTGCGTATTTGGGGTATTTGACAAATAACTTCCATGTGTAGAGAGTATATTTGCCGTAATTATTGCAATATTTGCCTATTTGGCAAATATAGCCAATAACAAATACGGCTTACCGATCGTCTGTCGGTTTTTCAAGGCTCATCAAAGGACACAAATAGGCAAATACGCAAATATACTGGCCACACATGGTCAGGCTCATAAGCGCGCGAACTGTCAACCAGTACGGACGGACCTGTTTATAACCTCTTAATGAGTGATTATTTAGGTACCTACGGAAAATGAATTGGAACAAAGAAACCGTTGTAAGTTTTCTTGAACTTTACCAAATGAACCCATGCATTTGGGACCTTGGAAACGAGGGGCATAAAAACCGGCAACGAGTAAACCACGCGTGGCATACCATTAAAGACAATTTGGGGGTACCATGTACCCTGCAAGTCAAAAAGAAGTCGCTTATGTCTATAGAATAGAATAGAATAGAATAATTTTTTATTCAATATAGATTACATGTGTAATTCTTATTGAAAATCATTTTTTACTTTACCACTGGTTCGAAAAAACACCTCTGTCCTGAGAAGAACCAGCAAGAAACCCAGCGGGACTTTTTTTAAAAAGCAAATTTTACATTAATGATTGTACAAACTATAAGTACAAAATTTATTTTAGAAACAGCTTGGAAGCGACCACCTCATTCCCAGGGCTTATTATCAACCACGTATTCATTTATACTATAATAACCCTTTTTATAAAGTTTCAACTTAATATCTGCGTATCGAGGTTACAAAACCAAAATAAAGAAAAGCGAACGATCCGGATCAGGTGCAGCCGATGTGTACCAACCAAGTTGATTTGCATTTGCATTTACGGATAGTTAGATTTTTATGCACGGTCAGCAATGCTGACTCAGCATCCACCATCGCCTTGCTATTGGTAGTTTTTTCATCACTGTATATTTTTACGCATAACATATAATAGTAACATGCGTTCAAATAATAAAATCCAGCTGCAAGTGCAACGTCCATTTTGTAGGTACAACTACTTTCTGCTAGCAAACATGTTAAATTTTTTTGTATTTGGCTCCATGTGTGGACGGTTGTATCGTTTATTTGCCTGTACGTCAAAATTTTTTGCCAAATACGGCAACATGCAATCACAAATACAAGTAGCCATGTGAAGTGCCACCATTAGCCGTATTTATTGTTGGCTATATTTGCCAAATAGGCTAATACGGCAATAAGTATGGCAAATATACTCTCCACACATGGAAATTATTTGTCAATACAGCAAATACGCAAATACAAATAGCCATGTGAAGTGCCGCCATTACCCTTTTTGTCGCCTAACCCCCGTCCGCCAAATTTGTACCGTGCGATAAGAAGGTTATTCATGTTTTAATGGTATGCCAGTGCCTTCAGCTCGGTATGAGGCAATTATTTCGATATTTCAGACAGACAAATTTTATGTATGCCTCATTTTAAATTTATGCATGTATGCATATATGTGGCACAGCGTAGATTTACATAAGATAAAATAACCATAATATTATTTACTCTGTGTTTTCTCGTAATGTAGATATAAGCGTTATCTGTTTACCTTATTAAATAACAGTCTAAATTATAACAATCTTGAATTTATTTTCTTTAAAAAAAAATCATCGGCCAAATCATGAAATGGCGGCGTATCAAGAAATCAGGTATGCACATGTGTGTGTGTGTGTGTGCGTGCGTATGTGTGGTTGTCAGACTAACCCTTGCTAAGCGCGGTAGCGGTGATGTCGTGGTCCACGAACTGCCCCCAGACGGCCAGCATGACGGTGAAGGCGGAGTCGTGCGCGTAGCTGGGCCGATGCACGGTTACGCTGACGTCACGCGCGCTGGGCAGCGCCGAGCCGTTCACGCCCACGCGTGGGGAGCTGATGCCTGCAACATTCCATTATTAGTAGAGAAGAGCGGCGTAATATAAGACTGCACAACATTCATCTTAGACGGTGTCCGTGGGACGCAATAGCCACTTAATATCGATATAAAAGAGTTGCAACAATATATCGACATGTTGCAAGCGCAATAATGATCTATTGCAAACGAGAGTGCGGTGCAACTGATTCCTGTAAGAGTTGACCGCCGCCCAGTTATTCATAATTGCAATACCAGGAGAGTTGCAGGTGCGTTGCCGGCCTTTTAAAAAGGAGGTCGTGAAAATCGGAAAAAATGCACGTCTACCACCAGCGATTTATCCACAAAAAAGCTGTGCCAGGGAGAAAACTCTTAGTGAATCGCACAATCGAAAAATAAAAATAGAATAATAGAATAAAAGAAATAGTAATAATTGGACATTGTAATTAAAAATAAAAATTTTAATTGTAAAGTAGTACTCAGAAGTAGGTTTACAGTATAGTACCTACGCACACACATTGACAACTGACATCATAATATTTATATTTATATTACAGAACAAATTCGACGTTGTAATTTTAGATGTTTTTTTAAGTCTAGTAAACCATATAATTGTCTCTGCCATTACTATGAAATTATTTTAATTATAATATATTATAATAACAAAATAAAAATAATAATACAATACCTAAATAATACACATTACTAAGCTTTATTAATCTAAAAATATTTATAAAATATTTTTACCATCTCCATAATCCGGTGGCAACACCCTCCGGAACGGCGTATTTGAGACACCCCATCGCAAGGGGTTGTTTAGATTGTTGCACGTGCCGTCCTGTGTACGATACTTGGAGATCACGCAGGGTGTTGTGGGCGGCCTGCAGTATGCTGGCTCAGTAAAGGAACCGTTGGTGGAGGGCCCGACGCCTACGCCTCCGGGGCGGAGGGAAGGATTCGAACTGGAAAAGAAATAAATAAAAAAAATATTGGGTTTGTAGTTTTAGCAATTTGTATCGTGTATTTTAGTAGGTATTATTATGATAGATTAATTCAAACAACAAGAAATTATATTTCATGGCCGCCGAAGTTCTATTAAGGGACTAATACCTATAATATGAATGATACACTAATTTATAACATATTTATGTTTTTTTATAATATAATATTATATTGATATTATTTCTGAAAGGGTTTTAGAACAAGGAAGTGTCCGCCGCGCTGCCCCAATGCGTGTTGGCGAACTTTACGTCTTCGAAATTTATTTATTATTTCTCAGACATGCAGGTTTCATCACGATGTTACCTTTCACCGCCGAGCACGTGGTAAATCAGTGCTTAAAATTGCAATTAACAATTTCATTGGTGCCGGCGAGGATCAACCCCGGCTTGCTCGCATACTGTGAAATTTACAGCGAGCGCTAACCATCTATCTGATCTACCACGGCTCAAGTCAAAACCCTCACAAAAATGAGGGCATGGAGGGAGAAAGTTAAAGTTACAGGCTATACATGTACCAGAACCCATAAGTGGGACGTGTATAGGCTGTATACCTCTGCTTATACTTATATAATTACTAGCTGGCCAGGCAGACGTTGTTCTGCCCTCTCCGACGACCCTGTGTCCTATAAAAATTCTTAAATTCGTAATAAAAAATATTGAGCGTCACTTATAGGGATAAAAACTAATCCTATCTCTCAAGTTGGAGCAAATTGCACATAGTGTGCAAAATTTCATTGCAATCAGTTATCAGTTTAGTAGTTCATCTTCATCGTGGAATCGCGGACAAACAATGTGACACGTAATTTTTATTTATAAGACACTATAATCTTTAATCTTGTATCTTGTATTATGTAATATGTTTAATACATTGGAGTTCTAGATTTTCAATTTATGGGGGAACAGCGCGTACGCAGTTCCCACTACCAAAAATTACGCGTCCGAGTTATCCACATTAGGGATAATCGCAGGGGTCAACCTAACCGCAGTGCAATGGAAAGGCCTCGCCCTGGGGGAACCGCCTTCTTGATCACGGTATCCCCTACGCCAGGTAAGTATGAATAAGCTACATCGGTGGGCTGTCCTGATTCATTTAAAGTAAATTTCAACACCGCGTGTTACAAAACAACTATTGCCATCTAGTGGATAACAATTGAACCACGTACGTAATACCTGGTCTGTGCAAATATGTAGTCTAGCCGTGTTTTATACAGTTACTCATAGATGACGCGTTGCTTTATACTGAGCTATAGAACGCCTTATTATTTTTTTGTTATTTTTCAGACTCGGAAAACTTCATTAACGTACTTCATACCTATATTCATTCAAAAAAATCCGCCCATGTGTCTCCCTCAAACCCATAGCATATTGATTCTTTTGATTTGAGAAATTTTTATGAACTATAAAATACCTTTGATTTATATCGTGAGTTTGCACATATTTTCATAGATTTATTTATTTAACAATTTATGTACACAGAAAGTAATGTTACAATGAACAATAAAAAAGATATTTTGTATAAAGGCACTGCTTATTTCATATTGAAATTTCTTGCAGCAGGCTCGATACTGAACAGATTCAAAGTGAAGCAGATTTAGTGTGCACTCTCATAATAAATATTAAAATATTATGTATATATAAAAGTCATGGATTAGATCATTGGGACCACAAAGAAAGATAGTGCTCTTTAACTTGCCTTTTAAACACTGAAACTGTTTGAGCCGCACGAATTGCAGCAGGAAGAGAATTCCATAACCTAATTGCATGTACTGTAAAAGAGTGAGAATAGAACTTAGTACTGGAGGAAGAGAAATTTAAGAGGGTTTGTAAATGTGATTTGCAAACTGCAACGGGGGAATGAACAAAGCGGAATCGATCACGTAGATACGGCGATGATGTTGGATCGTATAGTATGTTAAAGAGGAGGCAAAGGATTCGGGTATTCCTGCGAAGAAGGATTGGGAGCCACTTGAGCTGTTTGTGATAGGAGGAAACGTGGTCATACTTTTTTAGCCCAAAAATATAACGAATACATAAGTTTTGCAAGCGATCAAGTTTTTTCAATTATTCCTCAGTCGCATCCGAATAACAGACATCAGCATAATCAAGAATCGATAAAATAAGTGTTCGGACATACAAAATCTTCGTTGATAAAGGCAGAAAATTTAAAGGCATTTTAAGGAATGAAAAGTATAATTCCATGTCAACATGGCATCCATGATGATGCCCAGATTCTTAACAGTTAGTGAAATGCTTAGTGGCGTACCATTAATTTGCTGTGTTGGGACTGAAATAAAATCAAAAAGTTACGAGTAATCCTGGTGCATACAATCATTGCTTGTGAATTTTGTAGCGTTTAGTCCATATGATCTAGACCACTCATAGATTTTATTTCGATCTTTTTTCATTTGTTTTGCTTCAGTAGCTAGAAAAAGACGATATAGCTGCAAATCGGCTGCATAGAGATGGAAGTTTGAAGATATCACGTTGGTAGTTGGTACCTATTCTGTTTTGAAAATGCAATGGTCGCAAACATTCAATGTGTGTAATATTAAACTGATTTTGATGAAATTTTGCATTAAGGTGTAACTTGATCTACAGGATTTTATCTTCTCATATCGGACTTTTATTCCCACGGAGCGTGATATAACAGAAATTAAAAAAAAAAAAACAGAAAATAAAGGTTACTGATAAATAAATAACATGACAAGAAAAATATGGAGTAATAAATATGGAGAGAATAAGAAAAATATAACAATAAAGACTACTTGTGGCTTCGACGTGTCGTTTTTAAAGGTAGAAAAAAAATAAGAATACTGTTGAATTCGTAATTTTTTATACAATTTTTTGATACCCTTAACAAAATTGGTACGTACGTAGTATAACGTACATTTTTTCTAATTCATAATTTTCTTAAAATAGGAAACTATTAGATGTAGATTTATACGGGCCACAGCATACATTTACCATCAAGGAGACTGTGTTCATTTGTCATCTTTTTAAAAATCTGTGGAGGGTGCCGTAGATACCTAGTTAAACATAACTTTCGTAAAAATTAATATACTTAATCTATGACTACATATTAAATACATATAAATCCACAATATAAACCACAGGAATTTCGATTCATAAAAATTTCACATAATTAAGGGAATCAAATTATTGTGGGTGTGAAAAAGAATATGATATGGACATGGTGACTTTTTCTCCAGATATAAACCTAAGGTTGACATCTAATAACGGATGAAGCTCTAAAGATAGACTGGGACTCCAAAGATGCCATACCTACCCAAATCTCACATACTGGTAATACGAAGCAATATTACTAGTGCAAGAATAACGCTGCTGCGCTCACCAACCTAACAAAACCGTCGCGCATTTTTAGACAGGTAATATATCTTATTCAAACTTGAAACAGGTACAATAAAAGCTAACATCCATTGGTGAACTTCTACAAAGAGCCTACGTTAACACATGGATGGGTAAAAATATCTCTTAGCGTTAAAATAAGTAGTATAAGTTAGCGATATATTTATCAAAAGTCATTAAGTATTAAAAAAATGTAACAGGCGTCCTCTTGCTCAATATAAGGAAAAGCGTCATCTATGAGTAACTATATAAAATACAGCTAGGTTACATATATTTGTACAAACCAGTTGTATGTACGTGGTTTAAATGTTATCCAATAGATGGCACAAATTATTTCGTTTCTCGCGGTTTTGAGATTTTCTGAGAGTGAATTAGTACAGCTCACCGATCTACCCTATTCATACTTACCTGGCGTAGGGGATACCGTGATCAAGAAGGCGGTTCCCCCAGGCCGAGGCCTTTCCATTGCACTGCGGTTAGGTTGACCCCTGCGATTAGCGATGCAAAGTTTTTAAAAATATCGATATATTGATATCGATATATATTGAATGAAGTTGATATTTATATATCGATATATCGGTCAAGTACGCCGAAGCCGATATATCGATATTTCATCGATATTATCCTTTTTTTTAAGGTTAATAAAACGAAAATTTGGAAATAAAAAATGTATTATTTTAATATATAATTAAAAAAAAATTAATTCCAGTATTTTGTACCAGCTATTGAACTTAAAAATAATAACTTAGAAAGTCTGCTTCCATGTAGCCGGTTTCGGCTCTGGGTTATAGTAGCTCCTGCCTTCGAAAAAAGACGTTCTGATGGAACACTTGTTGCTACAATCGGTAGATGACACATTGCCACTTTAAAAAGATTCGGATATACACCCTGCATCTCTTGCTATGTTTCAAGAACATTTACTTTTAAAGTATTTACAGGGGCAGAGAGATATAACGTGAGTTCATCGTCACCGTCAGTTTTTTTTTCTTTTTATCTGCGTGTGAGCCAAAGATTTGTGGTACTTCCAAAAATCAAATTCAACTTTTTCTTCATCTTCTGAAGAAGTTGACGAAGCCGTTACGGCAGATTTATATTCAGAAATGAATTTTCTAATTCGAATTCAATCTTCTGGATGTTTGTGTTTCATATGTGATGCTAGATAGTTATGGATACACCCCGTCCCTCTGTTTTAGACTAAAATATTAAAATATGTAATATTGTATTATTTAGACTAAGCAGTAAAACTACTGTATCAGCATTTGTATGTAAGTTCCTAGTACTTAGTTGATGAGTCGCATGTCTGCGCACAAACGGACTCTTTGAATATCGTTCATTATTAAAGCCACCTCCAAATCGGTCGGACATAGTAATCTAATTGTATTTTAGTTTTTAAAAACTCCTTTCGACGTTCCCGAAATTTGACTGGCGCAGCCGGTAGGATTTGTTCGCAAAGGCTGTACCGTCTCTCGAAATATTCAGGTGTCCAAATTCGCCTGAATTCGTGATAGCGGCGCGAATAGCTGTTGGACAAATCCAAGAACCAAAGAAATTTGTCATCGAGGGAAGCGGAAGACATGGGAATAGCGGCTGGTTGG